ATCTTCCTAGGATAAACTGCCTCACACATGTCTGTACTGAAAGGAGTGGATCCCAGACCATCCTTGTGCCAAGAGGATGGTTTATGTGTCCTAACTACCCTCACATGCCTACTGCTGACTGCTGATTCAACACAGGTTAGCACCTGACGTGAAAGCCACCATTCATGCCACAGCATATGATGAAAAGCTCTGCCCAACAAAGAATGATGCTAATTAGCAGGGCCAACTTGGTAAGTCTCTCAGGTATTTGAAATAGGAAGAAAAGAATAAGCTTGTCAAAAGGCAAAAGTAAGAAAACCAGAAACTAGTAACTACAGCTGAGTCACTTTAGCAAGAGAATAAAGTGAAAAGCCATAAACTCCAGCTGTTGTGATTATTTGGCGCCACCTTAACTCCAGAAGACCTGTTCTTTCTGTAAGGCTTGCTTCTTCTGATTTCCACAAAGTCAGATCACATGGCCAAGATTCCCATTTTTACTTATCTTCAAATATACTGTAATACTTGTTACAATCATTGTTTGATTCATGGTTCACCGCAAGAACCTAAGAGTCAGAAACCCAAGCATCAGCTTTGATTTCTCTCTCCATCATTCCATCATATCCTCTAAGTGTTACTTTAAAACATTACAACTATGTCTGCTCTTCTCCATCCTTACCACTGATCAAATTCAGATCCTTATTTCTTATGTAGTCTGCTGCAACAGCCTTCTAAATGAATTTGCTATATCCAGTATTGTACCCCTGAATCTATTTTCCAATTAGTTGTATAATCGGACAAAATGAACCAGCCATTTCCTATTTAAAATCCTTTGATGATTCCTCATCTCCTACAGAATAAGATCTAAGTTCAATAAAATATTCTATAAGGCCTCTCAATCTTTTTCCAGCTGCTCCTTGTCACACATTTAAGTTCCAATAACCCAAAACTGCTTGTAGATCCAAACATATACAATAATTCTCCATGCTTTTTTACTTGCAATGCCCAGCCTGGCCCCTTCTCTTCACCTATAGACTATTTATCTTTTAAAACTGACCACTAGCCTCATCCCTTCTAAAAGCTGTCCCTGATTCACCAACTTCATCCCTTCCAATGTCAGCCTGGGGTAGAGCACTGCCTATCTACCAAAGTGTACTCTTTATAACACTTCCTTTACTACATTCATGTCCTTGGAGCTCTTTGAATTCAAAGACAGTATCTCATGCAGCTTTGAGTCCCCAGAACCTTGTACAGTGTAAACAAACATTCAATGAAAGATTGCTGAATAAATTAAAGAATACGTAAATAGAGATCAAGGCATATACCAAGTTGTCTAACAGAATATCTGCCCTATAGCAACTGCTCAATAAATTATCATTACTATTGTCTATTTTACTGCAAGTATGATTACTAGATTCACTTGATTCTTTCAATTATCAACTGGTATTTTTAAAGCTAAATTTCCCAAATTTTGACAAAGGGACCCCTGGGAAAAGCTCAGTTTGGTTTTTAAATTCCTTGATTTTGAAGAACAATTTTGTATCACCTGCATAATTCTTATAAGACATTTGTATTGGCAGGCAAGGAAATATTTACTGAGCTATTTATTCAGTCTTACGCAAGAAATCAGATAAGCAATTAAACTAGGTCTAATGACTGTTGATATTGAGGGGGAAGGGAATTAGGCATCTGGAGAGGTCACCTTATTTGGTTAGATAATGTTAATAAGGCTTTATTTAAAAAGTGCAATCCACTATTTCATTGCTCCCTACCATTCCCAACTTACACTTATCTTGTGTTTCTTCTAAACTGCCCTAAATTAGCATAATCAAGGTGTCTGGACTTTTCCATGGCATTAGTGTGCCCCAGGTAACACTTGTCTCCAGAAGAAGTACTTTTAATGTCAACTATTCTTCAAAAAGTTCTAAATGTGATCAATGAATCTTACCCATTTGAGATAATTAAGCCTCATACAAACGGAAATAGACAATTCAGTATAGTGGAAAAAGCATCACCTTCAGAATCAGCGAAAATTAGTTTTCAATCCTGGCTTAATTGTGCCTGGCAAAATCTAAGCTCTAGGTGCTCCCACTTTCTTTCTCAGATCTAAAATGAGAATTCCACCACCTTGTCTAAATCTACCATCAAAATGCTCTGTAAAGTATCCAAATAGTGATAACTTCACAAATATAAAAATGAAACCTGTAACTTAAAACATTTAAAGTAATCAAATCCATCATCAAATGCACAAAAAAGCTTTAAATTGGAATAAATTTATTATTATAACTAAGTCTAAACTTGTCATATTTGTACTTATTCAAAGCTGACAAGAATTATAAAAACAAAAGGAAACATGCCTGAGTGTTTCAACAGTTGGTATGTGACTGCTAAGCAAAACAAAATTTTTTTTTTCATTTTTAACATATAGAATACACACCCTGCTATTTCTCTACAATCCAGACAACTGTGTCTATTTGTCTGGCATTGTTTAACATTAATCCCTTCAAATCATTTAAGGAACCACACAATGCTTCCAAAAACAGTTATTCCAATTTACAAGAATAACCTCTTAAAAACAAAATGTGGTTAAAGCGAAAGAAACCAAGATATTTCAAAGGCAAGGAAAATCCTCATTCTGGAAAATAATTATCATCAATCCTTTAAAATTCTGTAATATGCAAAAATACTTTGTGAAGAGTAGTTTTAATGTTAAAAGTGTCTCAAAATGTTCAGGTAAAGTTAATACAACACAATGATAAGTTAAATAAAATTAATTCTTCTTATTTTGGGTCTTCAAAGTTTTATTACCCACTACCTATGACACTTCTCCTTTGCTCCCTTCTCTTATTACTGGGTCAGAGTTGCCCAGTACTTTTGGTGTGGTCCACTCAGAAGGCACACAGAAAAATAACAGGGAAAAAACCCCCCAACACATTAAAATAACAAGACAAGAGGAAGAGGCAGTAGAAGGGGGGGAAAAGAGACTGCATCAAGGGGGAAGAGAGAGACAAAGGGGAGATAGAAGAAAGGGACAGAAAAGCAAAAGGATGATAAACAACAAAATCTGTTCTTCCGGAAATAATGGTTTATGTTTATAAAAGAGTGAGGCTTCCAGAAAGTGAATCTTAGTATTACACAACAGAAAGTAATACAGAGGCCAACAGGAAAATAATTGAGACAAGAGCGTCATAAATATTCCAAATGCCAACCAATTTCACACAAGCATGTACTTTTCTCTGACCCAAATCATCAATTTTAAGTAAAAGGAGTTAGAAAACTAATCAAGCCATGTTACAGTGCTGAATAAACTGTAATCATAAATCTTGGATAGCATGGAAATTCAGAGCTGGAAATTTCCTTTCCAACCATGCGGAGCTCAACTCCCTCATCAGGCAGAGGAAGAAACTGAGGCCCTGTTTTGTAACATGCCTAAAATCACAAATGATGGCAGAACTCAGTAAAGCCGGGACTCTTTGTTCAATAATCTTCTCTATCTTCTGCCTCTGCTTTTTATAAATTAATCATTAACCATTCACCATACATTTAAAAAGTTTTGTCAAGCCTAACAAAAAGCTTTCTGGTGGCCAGATCAGAAGTAAATATTTCATAAGATAGCACTGTTCACGCCAATTAAAACACAAAATTAAATAGCTTTTACAGGGTATTAACAAAATATCCTAACCTAAAAAAAAACAAAGGCCCAATATTTTGAGATCTTCAGCCATCTAAATTAAGAAGCATATGGAAAGTTTTTCTCTGGATCTATGGATAAAATGAAGAAATATTTAACAAGGCCTATTTTTGTACATGATTCTCTGCAGCCACATCATTTGGTAGATTTGTCAACATTCTCCTTTCTGATTAAATAGTAACTTATTTGTCAAGGTTCCTCTCAAATTTCAGTTCTGTATACTGTAAGAATTTAACCACCATAATTGTTTATACCTTCTATATCCATGCCAGTAGGATCTGATTAAGACCCTCCCTTTGTAGCCAATCAAAATAAAGCTGCTATAAATGTAAAAGCTCCAGATTCAGGCCTAAAAAACTGGATTTGTTTCCATGCAGATACATTGAATTGTAGCCCCCCACCTCCATAAGCAAACGTGATGCATGCTATTAATTTGGGCTACATTTTTAAAATTCCCGTTGCAGTTTATAATTTTATATAAAACCGATCTGCTTAAAGCTTTGTTTTAATAGACATAGGTGAGGGAAGAGGGAGATAAGCACAACCCTAAGGCTTTTTTTTAAATTTATTTAACTGCAGGTGTAAAACATAAGCCAGTTTTCTTTAAAATACTAAGTGACATTTTTCAAAAATTGTTTTCAACCAGATTTCATATGACAACACGTAAACATAGGGCATTTCCCATCCGTGGCGGTAGACTTCTGCTCCCCGAAGAAAACGCGGACTCCGGAGGTTTCCACATCTCTTACACGCCCGCCCGGGAGCCTTTATTTTAGTAAGAGACACACTGATGGCAAACTTGGGCCCCTTGTCCTTTTGTCCCGCTGGACAATCTCTGGCCTAATTTTGGACAAAATCCCCCACTGATTACTCCTCCCCCTATATATCCCTGCTCTCTCTTAATGAGAAATTATACCTCGGAATCGTACCTCTCTTCCACGTAAGAAGAGAACGCCTGACCCCCCGCCACCTGGAGAACAATGTAACCCAACTCCGAGTCCATGGATTCCTCCATCCAAGCCCTAAGATTTATCTTCTGGGGAAATCAGAAAGCGAGTTGTGTCCTGTCATGCTGGATCCCCTCAAGGTGTCCTACTCCCAGCCCAGGATTACCGCTCCCTTACACTCACCTTCCTTTCCCAAGCATCGGGGCCCTCGCCCTCGCACCTTCCACCACGGCCCCCATCCCACCCTCGGAGAAGCAGCGCGGAGGGCGAGTCGCCTCCGAGGGCGCCCACCGGGAGGGAAGGGGCCGGGGGCGGGTCGAGAGCCGGCAGCGCGGCAGGACACTCGGGTCCGTGCCCACTCCCGCCGCAGGACACACGCCCAGTACCTTTGTAGTGCACCCGCAGGTTGTTCTGAGACAGGCCGATGTAGCTGAACTTGTCCTTCGGGCTCCAGGACCGCGGCAGCGGCGTCTCCTGCTCGTCCACGGCCGGGTAGAGGCGCTTCAGCCGCCGCTGCAGCTCCTTCTCCTGCTCGTTCAGGGCCGAGTCGCCGTGCGGGAAGGGGGCTGCGGCGCTGCTGCCCGCCAGGGCTGGGACGCCTCCGGCCGAGCCCGGGCCCGCGGCGAGACCTGGGGGCGCGGGAGGTGCGCTGGCGGGGGCGGCGACCGCGGCGGGCGGCGGGGGCGGCGGGGGCGGCGGCGGGGCCGCGGTGGCTGGGGGCGGCGGCGGCGGCGGCGGCGGGTGGAGAAGCAGGGCGGCCGCCGCGGCCCCCAAGCCGCCGCCGCCGCCCGCGCCGCCACCGGGCGAGCCGGCAGGAGAGGAGCCGGCGCTGACGGTCGGGGGCGCTGGCAGGACGACTCCGGAGACCGGGGCCACGGCCGCCGGCGGCGGCGGCGGCAGCTGCTGTTGTTGTTGTTGCTGCTGCGGCGGCGGCGGCGGGGGCGGCGGTTGCCCGGACATCCCGGCCGCGACTCAGCCTGCGGCCACCTCCACCTCTTCTCTCCTTCCTCCTCTGCTTCCCGGGGGCGCTGTCGCTGCGGCCGCCGGCACCAGGCGCCCAGTCCGCCCGCCCCGGAAGCAGGCGGCGGGCCGCGCGCCGAGGGAGAGCGCGACGGTTGGGGGGGCTCGGAGACGGGGAGTGGGCGGCGGGCCCGGGGAGCCCCGAGAGAACGGTGGCTGTGGCGCGGGCGCAGGCCGAGGCGCCGAGGGCGAGGGCGAGGGCGAGGCGAGAGCGCGGGCAGGGAAGGCGCGCTGGCGGCCGCTGCGGCCGCTGCTCTCGCGGCTGTTTCCCGGCGGGCGGGCCCGGCCGGCGCGAGACGCTGCGCGCGGGCGGCGCTGGGCGAGGGGGCGGGCACCGAGCGCGCGAGCGGCGCGAGGGGCGGGGAAGCGTGAGCGGCCGGAGCAGGCCTGTGGGGTCGGTGTTCGGGCCGGGGCGGCGAGGGGGAGGCGCGCGGCCCGAGCGGGGAGCGCTGCTTCCCGGCTCGCCGGCCGCTCGCGGACGAGACGCAGGGCTCCGGACGCGGGGTCCCTGCGGAGGTCCGTGCCGCCTCCCCCCGCCCCGGCCCTCCCCGGGAGAATCTCCTCCTACTTTACTTCTTTTTGTTGTCGTCGCCCCACCTCCCCACCGTAGGGTTCCCGCTGGAGCGGCGGTGCTGCTTCTCGCCCAGGCGAAAGTAATCGAGCCCCGCTGGGGCCGCCGCGAGCACGGTCCGCGGGCGCCCCCGGAGCGCTCCGGCTCGGGGAGCCCCAATTGGGTGCCCGAGGTCAGCAGTCTGGACAGTGCCCACGGGCTCCCCAGGACGGCTCCTGTTGGCCGCCTCCCTCTTTATGAACCTTCATATTCACAGTATTTAATACCTTAATGTATCATAGGAGGAGTGGAAACCATTTCTAAAGGCCAAGTACCCCCACTTAAAATAGTGAGCGTTGTACTGATTTTATGAGGACTTAAAAGTGAACTTACAGTGGTAGAAGGTGTAACAGGTATACTTAAAAAGCCTGGCACGTTTTCAAAGAGAGCAGTTAGGAAACAAGATTATAGTATATCAGTTTGGAAGGGCTTCTAGAGACGTCAAAACATTTTATAGACTCATTAATTTTCATAACAGGCCTCTTTAGGTAGCAAAGAATGATGCTCATTTTTAAAACAGGAAAATATACACTGAGGTCAGCAGAGTCAAAAATAGGACTTCTGCTTTGTAATTCCCAATAGAGTTCACTGCTTGGTCCACTGATTTGGCACAAATTGCTCTCTGACCCATCCTAGTATTAGTATTTTGTTTTCACCACTTCACTTTATGTTATTTACCGGGCAAAATCGAACTTTACACGTATAAGCTACATGAGATAAGTTCTGGTGTTTTGTTTGCTTCCTAAGATACTATGATGATAATTGTTTTTGACCAAATAAGCAAGGAACAGTTTGCTGAATAGAAAATTATCTATTTTGTTTTGATCAGGGTAGGTAAATGGTAATATAACTGAAGGCCCTCAGTGTCTGGCCAGAACTAATAGCCATTTAGTCTAATTTCTCCCTCAATTACTGAGACAACTAGATGCCTTGTTGTTCCTTAATAAAAATATTATTTAATTCTAACTTATTGTTTGATGACTTTTTTAAATCAATGCACTTTAAATTCCAAGATGTCATTGTACCTATTTAACTTGTTCTAAAACGTTCATTTATATTACAGTAACGAGTCAAATGTAAGCCAATCTCTATTTAAATGTTGACTAGCCAAGGTAGAATAAATGGGCTCCAAGCTCATTCAGACTTTCTTAAAGTTCTCATCAAGGTTTTCTTTGTGAAGGTGTACTTTTTTTTTTCTGTCAGCACACTTGAAAACTATTTAGAACTTGACATATCCTGGGAATGATTGAGAGAATAAAAGTATCTGACATTTTCTTGGAAGCTTCTTACAGGAGTGACTGGTTTTCTCCAAACAAGCAATCTCAAGAAATTAGTTCTTTCAGATCAGGGGAGGATTCTGTGAAGTGGGCACTTCTACTGAAGGTGGCAGAGAACATTGATAATGTCATTTTAGAAAGCTATATATTTGGTGATATTTATAAAGAGCCTTAAAGGTGCTTGTGCCTATTGACTTATTTCCACCAGTCTAAACAAGTAACAAAATCTAAAATGTGGAAGAAATTTAGACCTAAAAATGTTCAACAAGAAGTATAGGTGGATGCAATATGGAAGCCAACTAAATGCTCAGCACGAGGGACTAGTTGAAAAAGCATCATATATCCCTCTCAGTGGAATTAAGACTGCAAGAGTACATATAGCACATTTGTTCAATTTTTTTTTTTTTTTTTTTTTTTAATGCATCCCCTCTGGGAAGGGGAATTGCCAAAAGAATGAGGCCGACAAATTAGAAAAAGACACTTGTTCCTCTTGGGTTAATCAATGGAGATTGGGCTCAATTGCAGACCCACTACTGCCAGGACTTTTGCACAGGCACAGGCTATAATAAATATTATATGGCCTCCAAATATGGTTTTGAATACATTGAAAAGTGATTGGGATGTGCTACATGGAACAAGGCTACACAATAATTATACATTGTCAAAATTGTTACTAAAAAGACATGAAGAAAAATCCCAAACTGTTTTGTAATGAGTAATTGCAATACATAATTAAAAGTAAATTTGTATTATAAAACATTAAACTTGTATATAGAAATATAAGTGGTAAAAATCCATTAGCCTTGAACTTCACACTCTTTTTGCACCTATATTTTCAGTCTTTACCATGTCTTACTATAGTGTTGATATATAGCTATCTTTCGAGGTTCTCAGTAGCCAACAATAAGACACTATTTTCTTTCTTAAGCAGCAGGAACTTATAGGAAAGAAATTGTATGGTTCTCAGAACTGACCAGAAGGCTGAACAACCAGCCCACGTCCAAGGGAAGAGGTTAATACAAGGGCATAGATACCAGAAGGCAGGGGTCATGTGACCATCTTTGAAAGCTGCCTATCGCTGGTGGGTGCAACTTCCAGTGAACCCAGAGAGACTGCACTTGCCGCACACACATAAAATATAGCTCTTGACCAGGGACTGGCAAATTTTTTCTATAATGGGTCAGTAGGAAATATTTTAGACTCTGCAGGCCATATGGTTCCTGTAACAACTACTCAACTTTGCCATTGTGAATGAAAAGTAGCCCTAGATGATCCATAAACCAATGGATGTGGCTGTGTTCTAATAAAACTTTATTTAAAAAAAAAAAAAGCAAGCTAGATTTTGCCTACAGGCTATACTTTATAATTCCTGTTCCAGACCATTTTATCAATAGTCTTTATAAACTGTTCTCAACACTAAATGACAAGACCAAGTCACTGACAATGAAATAAATCCCGGGAGTCAATAAGTTTACTTATTAACAACAGTGCATGCTGCACCCTGGAGTCCAGGACAAGCCTATGCCATATGCAAGTGGAGTCAGGATATTTTGGCAGTTAATGTATAGTAAATTGAAATGGATGGCAAACAGCCAATGCTAAGAACCTACAGCAGGATAAAGTCCAAATTGGGAGTAGTGCTGTGTCAGCTTTTATTAAGCACCTATTATGTGTTAGGTTCTGAGCACAGAATAAGCAAAAGAGGGAAGAGGGATTACAAAAATGAACAAGGAAGTGTGGAACCTATTCCTGCAGTGAACAGAGTAGAGTTGGAGAGGCGAGATTGATTGGTACATGTGATTTAGAGCAGTGCTTCTCAAACCTGAATGTAGGGATTTTCCGAGTGGGACCCAAGATTCTGCATTTCTAACAGGCTTCCAGGTGATGTCACTGCTGCTGCTTCGAGGACCATCCTTAATAATAGCAAGGACTTAGAGAAAGGAAGGCTTCAAAGAGTTCAAGGCCAGGTAACAAAGCCTAATAAGGGGAAGACTTCTCCTGTTGTCTTGGCCAGACTGGGAAGGTGGTGCTCGCAGTACCCACAAAACCAAGATAGTATTTCTGGGGCTTAGGGTTCAGAGTGAAAAGTATCTGTAGAATCACATGGGCTAACACAAGTGTGTTGTTCCATATTCATGTGTGAATAAAATGGTTACAGTTCAGTGTTCATTAGTAAAAATTATGTGAAAAAAAGTTATTACATTTAGACAAGACTTTTGTTAACATGTTCTAGAAGAATTTGAACAAAATTTGCAATTGTGGCTTAAAGAATCTGAGCTAACAATTATTTAACAAATTAGTCTACTATATATCTCCTGATTTTCCTCTTAATTTTCCCTCTCTTTTTTTGAGTCCACTGTAACTCATTTGTCAAACCATGATTTTTCTTTCATATTGATTTTTATGTTCCCTCTTTCTTGTTTTCTCATAGCAATATGAAAAGTGCATTCAAAATGGAGTTACAGCAGGGAGCAGATGGCAGAAGCTCACCTCCGTGGCACTGTCTCCCTCAATGTTGTAGGGCAGGCATGGGAGGTTCTTTTTTTTAAATCCTCACCTGAGGACATTTCTGCAAGAGCAGGAAAGAGAGAGGGAGAAAGAGAGAGAGAGAAACATCGATGCGAGAGAGACACATCGACTGGTTGCCACCCACATGACCCCAACCAGGGCCAGGGACAACCGAGGTACATGCCCTTAGCAGGAACTGAACCCAGGACTCTCTGGTCCGCAGGCTGGTGTTGTAACTCCTGAGCCAAACCGGCCAGAGCAAGGTTCTTGATGGAATCGTGGAATGGGAAGGCTGCTCCAGAATTTCCCGAGTTCCATGCATCGCCACCTACTGGCCTAGGAAATGGCCATGAGTTTAGTTTATCTGGACTGATGCAACACAATGCCATAGACTGGGCAGTTTAGAAACAACAGACTTGTATTGCTTACAGACATGGAGGCTTAGGAAGCCCAAGATCAAGCAAGGCACCAGCAGATTTCAATGTCGGGTGAGGGTCTGCTTCCTAGTTCATAGATGGCCACTTCTCACTGGGGTCTCTCTGGAGTCTCTTTTATAAAAGGCACTAATCCCATTCATGGGGGCTCTACACTCATGATGTAATCACCTCCCAATACCATCACAATGGGGATTAGGTTTCTACATATGAATGTTTGGAGGGGGTGGGGGACACAAATTTTCAGTCTACAGCAGCAAAGTTAGGGAACAGACAGGAAAAAGGAAAACAAAAGATGAAAATAGAAAAAAGAAAAAAAGAAGAAGAGAAAAAAAGGTGTGTCCTTAAAGGATAATGATATGTAACTCCCCAAAGTGCCAGCCATCATTGTGGGCTATATAACTTGCCTACTCATGGGGGGGTGAGCTCCCTATTCCTG